GAGATGAAAGCATCATAGTTGCTGAGATCTCTGCGAGATACAAAGTTAACCTAAAAGAATAAAATTACCTTTACATTTATAATCGAAACAAAATTTATACATTCTGATCTGATGAGTTTTGGAATTACATATGCCTAAATCCAGGAATGATGACACAATTACACTACAGGGAAATACAGTAATTATTAGATTGATGAACGTATCAATCTGATTTGAATGAACAGCCTTTTATTAAAGCATAGTTGTCTATGCCCTGCACCTAAATTCAGAATAAGCTTCAAACACTTCTCCATCCCCACTGACAAATCCCTAGTTTTAAAGGTGATGAGTATTATATGGAAAAATATCTATCTGAAGTGTAAAGTCCAAGCATATGTCTGAGAAGTAAATATAACTGCCCAGCCTAAATCTCCTGGCCAACTATGTGCCTTTGCCTCTTTGAACAGGAATTATCCTTGTACTTGGTCAAAATGAGACTACAGGCTCTTGTGAATCTTTTGACTTATGTATCCTAAAGGAGAGATGAATAATCATGAAGGATGGGAACAATACACAGAGGTGATAGTCTGCTAATCAGAGTCAAGGATCTTGTACTAATTCGTAGTCCCTTGAGCAAAGCCTAAATAAAGTCATTTGGGAGGAATCACTATGTCAGGATTGCTAGAAATAGCAACCTCCTCCACTTTCTGAAAGTGAGTTATGAAACATGAGCAAACACAACCTCTTAATCTATTTCTGGAAGTAATTTTTGTATCTTTGTCCCCAGCACCATCAGTAGTATCAAGGCTTTGGCTGATGGACCCTCACAATTGCAGATCTACCCTTTCACCATGTTCCTCAGAGTTTTTAGTTTGCTGACACACAAGAAGCTTTTGTGAGCACTTCTCCGTGACATGTAAAGAAAGGGGATTCATGTTGCACTTTCTGTCCTAGGACTTCTCCTCTCACTAGCTATACTGCAGAACTATTTAAGTTCTGATATATTTCAGCCCTTCTATAAAGATAGGGAAGGTGCAGGATCCAGACCATAATCTTAAAGTGCTGAGGTTCATCTTACATCAAAACCATTTCATGGAATATTTAAAGGCATTTGAACCATAAACATCTTCTGTTAAAGACACGCTACAGTGAACGCAGTTAGAGGAAGAGCAAGAGCTGGGGCACTAGAGACTGGGAAGTGGGACTGCTGTTTAAGTTAATAAAGATTGTGGGTTTCCCTTCCAAACCTTCCTTATGTGTGTTTGGAACTTAAGATTAAGAATTTAATCACATCACTTACTACCAAAGATTGAGAATAAACGGTTTATATAAGCTTTAGAAAATTATCCTGGTAAACTTAATCACCTGTTTAACACTGGACTAGTCCTTGTTATTTCTAACTTACACTTTAAATTCAATGCAAATTAATATAAACTATACCTAAGTGAGCAGGAGTGACGAAATTGTGGACAGGCAAACTTTGCTTTTATGAAGTGATGACATCATTCCAAGTCAGTGCTAGAGCATGAATGAGCAGATTGATCCATGTTTAAATGGAGACTTACATTTCAGCATATATGCCATCTGGATAATGCTTGCAGCAACACCATAATGACTAACTAACTAGAAACTTCATAGGAATCTGTGTATTGAACTTGTGTTTTGGTTTTTTTTCATGGATAGATGCTATATGGTGAATATTAATCTCATTTCCGGAATGCTCTTCATTTCTTAACTCAATGATTGTCCTTTAAATCACTTTAAAATTAGAGACTAAGCCTGTCTTACATTTTTTTTTCATAAATCTGACTTTAACATTATCTAAAGCAGCAGTAGATTTATTAGTTACAACACAGAGAGGAGACCCACCAAATTGTGACCTGTGGTCTGCCTTAAAATAACTTTCCATATCTCACCAAGATATAAAAATAACAAAACTTGTTGAAGTCAAGGTTCTAGGGATTTTTGTGCATGGGCTGAATTATCAAGAACCCTAGAATCCTATTTCTAACTCCCTCATTATTCTGCTTTGTAACCATGAACTACTCCCAACGTTCAGGACTATCTAGCTGCTTCCCTTTTCTTTTTAGACCACCTCTGCTTAAGACCAAATTCAATCTTGACTGTTGTCTTCTATGCCATCTGTGCACTTTCTTAAAACACTTCTCTTGTACAGACTGTGTTCAATAATGAAGAGCCCAGCAAAGACTTTTAAAGGCTTTCTTTTTACTGGCAGAGAAGAACAGTGTTTTTAAGGGATTCGATACAGGTGAGAATGGAGCGAGTAAGTATTTCATCTGGATAGAGGTGTTAATGGACACAGGATACTCAGGCTTGCAAAAAGGAATAAAATCTAGAGGGAAGGGGTGTTTTGAATAAGGAAGAAGATCAAAGTAGAAGAAACCAGAAGAAAGCCTCCTGTCTCACTTGGTCCCCTTGATGACCCTCAAGTCCTAGAGAAAGGGCTCAGTGAAAGCAGATATATAAAAGACATTTGTTTTTCCTCAGAAATAAATTATTTATTTGGTTTAAAGGTCTGAATAAAAGTGTCTAATGTTAAAACGTTTTCTTAGATGGCTTCTTCTTTCTTTTCACAGTTGTTTTTAGGTTATCTAAATGTCAAGGAGTTCAGAATAAACACCGACTCTGAATAAATGTTGAGCCTGAGAGCTCAGGACAGAAATTTCAGTGTCTAAAAATGTCTGCATCTTGCTACCCAAGTCATAAATACAACCTCAAATCTGCCCATTAAAGTCTATTTAAAATACAGTACTTTTATGTCACATGCTCCCAATCTGGAGATTTGTCTGTGGGTCATGGCAGTGAGTAGATGCTCAGATATGGAAGTGAAAACTGAGGAAAAGGTGGGAAATAGTATGTGCTCTGTCAGACATAAATACAAAGCTCCTGTGTACCTTGTTCATGTCTCCACTTTTAATATTGCAAGAGTCACTGAAAAACCTTGGGTGGTTCCAAACCTTGATCTGTTATCTTGCCTCAGATTGTTCGCAGCAAAGTTAGATGTAATTGTTCATTGGCTAGCACTTCTCTTTAGCTTCAGTAACTCTTAAAATTTGCTGGTGTTTACCTCTTTGATGAAACACATAGAAAGACAGCTGTCACTTACCCTCTTACCATTTGTTTGTTATGCAAAGCACACTAAGCTTTTATAGTCTCATCTTATGAAAGAGGCTCTTTAATGGCCCTGTCTCCCCTGCACCTGTTGCAATTCATCGTAATTCAGCTTCATGAGGCCAACAGACCTGTCTCAGAGGTCACACCAGGGTCTCTTCAGCTCCAGTGACATGTCCTTGGTTCGTTCCTGTTTTTTTCTGTGAGCAGATCCTGTAATGCTTATTGACATGCTATCACCAACAGATCCACTCTTCTTCCTTCTCTTTCACTTCATATCAGAAAAAAATCTATCAGCCAGGGCTATGATTCAAGACCACCGTGTAGCACTTTTAGCTACTAAATTTCACCCAGTGTAGTTTACACAATGTAAAAGGATACTGATTTCTTCTGCACTATGAATCCACACTTCCATCCTGTGCCATTTGCATTTTTCATCAACCAGCTTGTACGTTTTTCCCCTCACTTCACTACTAGTAAGTAAAATAAGCTCACTCCTTCTTATACAGAAAGTCTTCTAAAATTTAAATCACAGTATTTCACCTTTCAGTCCAGTATTTTGTCTTCTACTTAGTCAGCCCCTCGTCCATTTTACACCATTGGTGCTAACCTCTGTCTTCTCTATTTCATTTAGCAATTCCCTATGTGTCAGAATAACATATATTTTTAGAAGTAATTTGATTTCTATGTGTCACATAAGGAACATAGGCCTGCTAACAAGTATGCTTACAATTTTAAGTGCAATGTGATGCATAACACCCTGCTAAATGAAAGGAGAATTAGAGCTGAAGCAAAACAAACAAATCCTATGCTTAATTTGATAATAACGATTTTATCTGGAGCTGGCAGGAACTGGATCTTCAGCTAGTTTAATGATTTCCATTTACCAAGAAGTAGAGGATGCAGCACCTTTTTAAAGGCTGGAGCAATTAATGCCACTGAATTTTTGCAGGGAAGCTGTTTATGAAGGCGACGGGAGACGGCACAGCAGGGAGCAGCGCTGGAATCCAGGCGAATACACGGGAATTTCCTAGGGAAGGGTGTGAACCTGTGATAGCCATTGGCACTCAAACGCTGGACTCATCCTCTCACCCCCTGCTGGTCCCTGGATCACACAGGGAGGAAAACACGGCACACCCAGGAGGGAAACACGGCTCCAGCGCGGGCAGACACTCCTGGGGGAAAACCCCGGGGGAAAACCCCCGGGGGGAAAACCCCGGGGGGGACACTCCTGGGGGAAAACCCCCGGGGGGGACACTCCTGGGGGGACTCTCATGGGGGACACTCCTGGGGGACACTCCTGGGGGGGCACTCCTGAGGGGATACTCCTGGGGGGACTCTGATGGGGGGACTCTCNGGGGACACTCCTGGGGGACACTCCTGGGGGGGCACTCCTGAGGGGATACTCCTGGGGGGACTCTGATGGGGGGACTCTCATGGGGGACACTCCTGAGGGGACACTCCTGAGGGGACACTCCTGGGGGACACTCCTGAGGGGACAGCCGGCCCCTCCGCACCGCACAGGCCTTTCCCCACAGGTGCTTTCTGCAAACAGCCCGGCCAGCCTCCCTGACACCTGCACCGCTCACTGCAGCACTCAGCCAGGCTAAAGCGTCCTGCCTGACCTGGCTGCGCGTCCGCGCATGGATGCGTGCACATCTCACTGGAATTTGAAAGCTATTCCTACATTGCTCGTGCCTAGTGCTGGACATTTGTGCTTTTCTACATCCCCATCTCCTCGCCGCCGGGGCAGGCGGTGGCAGCCCTCTCACCTCCCCGGACATTCCCGGCTCTGTCCCGGGCCGCCTCCTTCCCCCGGTGGGAGCCGGGCGGGCGGTGCGAGGCTCTCCCCGCCCCCGGCTCCCGGGGCCCTCCCGGCCCTCGGCTGCGGGGACGGGCATGGATTTGGCGGGAGTCTATAAAAAGCCGCCGTGAGGCGAGGCCACCGTCCTGCCAGAGGCGCCGGCGGAGGCTGGGGCACCGCATCATGATCAACCCCAACTACTACCCCTGGGGCTACGACGGCGACAACGGTGAGAGAGAGCCCGGCGGGCTCCTCCCGGCACCGACAGCCGGGGGAACGGGGCCCCGCTTTCCCCTGGAGCGTGGCGGGGGATGCGGGCTCAGGCGGGCCCGGGGCGCTGCAGGTGGCGGGGCCGCTGGGCTCTCGCTCGCAGGCGCGGAACAGCCGAAGCTGGTGGAAGGAGAGGTCAATGGCAGGGAGTCTTCGAGTTAAATAAAGTCAGTTTTCCCTAGTGTTAATGTAAATTAAAATTTGACATAGCAAAGCATAGGGCTTTAGGCTTGCCCTAATGCAGGGAGAGCAGTGCTGGGCTGCAGGCCCCGCATGCCAGGAGAGGTTGGGGTGTTGATGGTCTCTTGTTCCTGCTCTCTCCTCTTCTGCAGGAAGAACAGTTCAACATTGGTCAGGCTTTTTCCACATTAATTTCTCGGTAAAACCACGATGATAATTAAGTCCACGTTTCAAATTCTTGGCACGTTCAGGGATCAGTGGTCTTTTCTCCATTCCATATGTCTACATGGTGCCACATTTGAATAATTTGGGTATATCTCATCATATTTCTAGCCACTGCTGGACTTGAAGTATACACCTCTACTTTGCTTCCTTGGGATATTGTCAGTCTCCTAGTAGTCAGTCTTGAGGTTGCTATAAGAGTTTAGGTTCAGTTGACAGACTTGAAGTATCCAGTATTCCAGCTAGAAATCAATCTGGTTGGTTTTTATGCAGTGAAACTCTTGATAGGACATGAATCACAACTAGGCAATTACTTATTAATACACTTAAATGATGTTCTGTACTTAAGCAAGCCTAGCTTGCATTAATTGTAACAAGTATAATTCATATCTCTCTGGAAAAGATTTTCATTATACTTCTCTGTGCTTTTTTGTAGGACCAGATCAGTGGCACAAAAATTACCCTTTTGCAAAAGGACGCCATCAGTCACCGATTGAAATCAATAACAAAGAGGTGCATTATGATAGTTCTTTACTACCATGGTTTGCTAGTTATGATCCTGGTGCAGCTAAGACCATCCTCAATAATGGGAAGACCTGCAGAGTTGTATTTGATGATTCATTCGATAGATCAGGTCAGTTTTGTTCCCATCTCTAACTATCATTACATGTAAGTGACTGTTTCTCAGTTTACGTGGTAGAGCCTGCTGTGAATGTTCAGGCTGTTAGAAGGGTTCTGTGTACTGCCTATGTGTGATGTACAAGTTTCTCTGACCTCCTACCCTGTGCTACTGCTGGGAAAGGTCTGGGACTCCTTTTAAAGTTCATCAACGAAGTCCTAGGGAATGGAGAGAGCTGCACAGAAACTTGGTACAGGGTGAATTAAGGTATAAGATAGGTTTCTGGGGCTGCAAAAAGTCATTGCAGTTGTACTGCTTTCCAGGACAAAGTAGGTTCAGGCTTTATTTGTGAGAACTGAATTCCATTTTACCTATTTGAGATGCCCAGTAGAACATCTTAAGTTACAATATTTAAAAACTCTATCCATGTAATTTGTGATAAGTGAACTAACAAGCCAGATGTTGCCACAACGTCATGGTATTTCATCAGTTCAAACTCTTTTTGGCATTCATGAGGTTTTGTCTTAATGAAGATAATAGGACTGATAAATTTAATTGTGTCAAGTTTAATGTCCAAAATCTTTTATCCACTTGGAACTCTGAGAGCATACAGTGTACAGACTTATTTCTGCATTCAAACTTCCACTCTGTATATAATTAGGAATGACAGCTGTAATTACTAGGAGAAATTTTATTAATAGATTGTTTCATGTTAAGTATTTATGGACATGGATTTGATTTAATTTAATGGATTTTTAACTAATTATTTGGGTTTCATGAAACTGAGGATCAAATGTATGTAAGCTGGACTAGTTAATATACTATCAAAACTCACAAATTACTCTGCAGTCAATGGTTTTGTAACTTTCCTAGCAAAGTGTGAATTCTAAATGATATTTGAAGAAAAATATTAACGTCAGATAAAATTATACACAAGTAAAGAAATGTAGCTGTGGCATATGAGATCTCCATGACTATTACCTTTTTTTACCATCTGTTTATTTGTTAGAACAGCATTAGATATACCAATGGTTGCCTCTTTTCCATAAAAATAAAAGTGTAATTATTGTTAAAATAACTCTGATTTTGAATGGGAGAGAGTATCCAGGCACAGCAATCTACAGCATGGATGCAACACTCACCACAAAGAACAGAAAGTTTCAGAATGTTCTGAAATTTTTTTCAGATGAACTCCTCAGTAACTGTTGTGTTTTGATCTCAGAAATAAAAAGCCACTCACTGCAAAAAAAAGTAGGTGGATATCTCAGCTCTTTGAAGTCAAGAAACATTTAGTGTTTGTTGTTATGTCTCCTTTGTTATACCATTGCCTGCAGAATCTGTGGGTGGTGTTCTTTCTCTAATATAATGCTAATTGCAGGACGAATTCCACTGTGCATACTCCCACTGACTTGAACACATTTTCAGTTTTTTAGGATATGTACAGTGGCTTATTTTTTATGTAAAAGAACCACCAGCTGCACAAAACATACTTATGCAATAGCAATCATATAGGAATTAAGCTTTTATTCCTTTGGAAAAAAGACATTCATTCTCTCTATATCTGTGTATGTGTCTATCACTCCATCTATCTGAATTATTTCTGAGTTAACCAGAAAACTAAGGGCCTCATTTATTTTCCTGCCTTTTTTTCAGTTATAGTGGTTATACCCATATCTGTACTTCTGTCTAGGTTTTCATTAGTTTGGATAAAATAGATGGCTGAATAAATTGCCAAGGTGAGTGATAAAATTATTAATTTTTGATGTCTCCAAGTTTTACATGCGTTGTGTATCCTGCCAAGAACACTTGAAGTATTCACAACTGGGGACAGTTTCTTAAATTCAAACAATTAGAGTGTCAGCCAATGTAATTCAGGTATTAGGTTGAAAAAGGCCTTATTACTTTTATGTTTGGGATTAGCCTAGTGGAAGGAATTTGAGAATTTACTTCCATTTATAAAGTCTGATGGACTTTGGGAATCTGCTACAAAATGGAAAGCTTTGCTGACTTTGCTGACAGATAAAGTTGCTGTAGAAGCAGTATCATGCCTATGCTGCCTATCCATACAAGTTAATGGATTCTTGTGGACTCAGTTTCCTCTTTTACCATACCAATGTAGATGGACCTTATGCACTGTAAAATGCTTGCAGGTGAGGGCTGGAGTCTGAAAATTGAGGAAAGAGCTGGGAGCTGAAATCAAACCTTCTTTACCACTGCAATGTTTTTTGGCCTGATTGGCAATTCAGATTCTCTTTTAGATCCAGCAGTAACCCAATTTTGGTTTGAATTAGGGCTGAAATCTTATTTCCACTATCAGAATCCATTTGTTTCTAAAATTCAAAAAATATTCGTATCAGAGAAGTGTCCTTAGAGCTTCTAACTGGTGGGACTATTGTCATGATGCTCTTTGAGATATATAACTTCGTTACAGTTCATGAGTCTTTGGCTTTTGTTGTAATACCTTAGTTACATGGTTATACCAAAGTGTTTGATTGTTTGATAAACAGTAAAGATACAAAACTCTAGTAATGGAACCCAGACAGAGCAGCAGGGGAGAGATACACTAAGGCTATGTCTCATGGAAACCTTCCTTCATCTTCCCTCTTTGTTGTTTTTGTTGGCAATGGACACAGCAACCAAACAGATTCTTACTTCTTCTTTTACTAGCTTTCAGATGGGTGACATTTAAGGGCTTGGACTACCTCAGTGCAGGCACACATTCTTACAGGGTTACCTTGATGCTGTTTCCAGAATCTTTCCTATCAAAGAAATGTGTGGCTTTGAAAAAGTGGATGATGAAAAAAAATTAGAGACAGTTACTGTAAGAAGTTGGAGCTTGTTGCTAATCAGCTCTTTTAGCATGACTGGGGCTTGTGGCCAGCATTTCCTCAAATATCCCTTTGTGGGAAATCTCATTTGTTTTTGCAAATGAAATTTTGATTATCAACTTCTGGTAAATAAAACATTCATTTATTCACTGGTTACTATAGAGTGAGGACAAACCCCAATAACTTTAATTAAAGCAGGGGGAAGTCTCTCTATAGACATTCCAGTTTTGGTGATTCCTGCAAAATATTACTTAACATTTTGTCTGCTGAATTTGCACTGGAGAAAACCAGTAGCTGTTACAAGATTAGCACCACTAAATCCCAGTACTTTTGTAGTTGTGATACCACTCAATGACTGTACTGCATAAGGCAAAAAGCAGCAAAGTTAAATTCTTCCTTCAGAGTAACAACACATCTGTCATTTGTCATGTCTGCGTGAAGGTATTGAGAACTCTAGTACTTGGGTGCAGGGAATTTAGGATTTGAGCTTCTGTTAACTTTCAGTTTCTACTGTTAGAATTAAAAGTGCTTGACTTTTAATTCTTGTCAAGGGCCTGCTGAGGCTACAAGTACACAGAAGGCTCTCAGTTTTCTGTCCCTGCAGGTGGGACAGCCACCTATTCAGCCCTACACAGATGACAAACGACAATGATTTGGGAGCTCACTGATGAACAGGCTGTGAGCCAGGGGCACAAAACTGGCAAAGATGTGTTAGAGTGTAGGTGAGAGTGGGTGGCAGGCTGACAGACTTCTGTCTGACACTTCTCTTTCCTAGTCTGTCCCTAAAAGAGTACAAAGTTCAAATAGAAACAAAAGTAATTCTGCTGCCATATCTATTCAGTGCTTGCTTAAGGAAAATTTCAGGGAGAACTGAAATTTGAGCTCCAAAAGCTTTTAGGAAACATATTTTATCCGTGCAGTTAGCCAGACAGTTTCAGTACAGAGATCCTTCTTTTGAGCTTTTTTATGACTTTAAAATCTGACACTGATATGAAACAGCTACGGTTTCTATACTGCACTGTTAGATTCTATTATGAAGCAGCATAACACAGGCAATGTGTCTTTTCAGCTGTCATACAGTAGTACGTCACTCATTAATTAAATTGTGGTTTACCAGTTCATTTTATGAATTTGGCAGGATGCAAGATCATAAATCTTCCTAGAACAGTCATTTCTTCTCATGTTTATAAACACAACTCATCTCATGAGTCTGTTTTGTTCTCAGTGGGTTTTTCCATCTGCCTTTACAGCAAACAGGGAAGGTATTTGTGTAGGCATAACTTTGCCAGTTTTAGTTTTAGTGAGGGCAAATGACAGTTGACACTAGCTCAGATTAACAGTCAGACCCCTACAGAAGTTGCTCAGCAAGTGGATGTACATATTTGAAAAGCTTTCTGTCACTTTTCTGTTGTCAAGGGCACCCAGCTAGCTAAGGTAAAATGATTGGAGCAGCCATCTCCACTCAGCTGCATGACACCTTCATTTTTCTGTGTCACAGAGTGAGAGACGGATTTCTTGCCTTAGTTCCATCCTGTGCAACCCTTGCCCTAGTGATTACATTGAAAGTGAAAAAAAGGCAATTCTTTTATTAGCCCATTTTGTCTCATGCTGCTCAGCTGATGACAGATCAAATAAAAGGTGAGCTTTTTTCCAGAGCAGATGTCCATGTGTGTGTCCGTGTAGGATTGTTCCATGATGGATCGTTCTTCAGTGTGGATGTGTGGGGGACACAGAACTTGGGCAAGACTGGTGTGACATTTTTGTGCCTGGTATCAGGCACTGATGGGTCATTGAGGGTGATGTGCAAACCCATCCAGAGTCAGTCACTGAGCAATGGGATGAGAGTTTGCAGCAATAAGGCACCAAAAAAGGTGTGATTCGTTTTCTCCCCTGTTTTCCTGAGCTGGCTTGTATACTCTTTCACCTGGGCCATGTTACCTTAATGACAGCAAGTTTAAGGGAGTTGTAATTTGGTAATTCTGCTGTGACTCTCAGATATTTAAGGTGAACATTTCCTGTGTAATAATTGTCAGAAAAATTCCCTGTTACACGTAAATAATATATACTAACATTGCTGGAAATTAATGTCAAGATACCATCTCTTCTTTTATAAACTTTTATTTTATATTATTTTTCTGTTATGTGATTGTACATTTTTATTTTTGTAGTATTGAAAACAAAAGTCCAAGAGGATAAAGATATGTTTAGAATTTAAGTTCCAAAGCACATGCTTAAAAAAAAATCTTACTAATTTTAAGCTATGCAGACATAGTTTGGGATTTTTAATATTTTTAATGTTGGAGAACTTAATTCTTGTAATGGTTTTGTTTACTTTTTCCCTTTTTAAAATGCAGGAAAAATTCATTTACTTACATTGTCATTTTTATGTATTTATATCTTCAATACTACACACTTGTAATTAAAAGAAAGGAAAAAACTTTTTGTCCTTCAGGAGATGTTGTTTGCATCATCCTTTCTGCCTAAAGTGTGCTAGGTAAAAGTTACTGTCTATTTATAGATGAGTTAAGCTGGAATGGGTTGGCATGAGATGATGCCGAGCTTCACCTAATGCCTAGTCACAAATGTCTTGCTGATGGCCCATCAGTGGAAATAGTGACATATTTTTACTCTAAAGAGGATTATTTGGCCTTACAGACCTATTTTAATGGAGAATTGATGGCCTTGTCAGCTACTGCTCTTACCCTGATTGTTCACCACAGTTCTGAATGTCTGTGGGAAGAAGTAAAAGGAATTAGTTGAGAATAAAAGATTGCTCAAGTCTTAGTGCTGTATTTCTTGAGTTGATAATGGATTTAATCATTTTCAGATTGAAGGATATTTTTCTCTGGCATATAAAGACCTGTTCTTGAGAGCTGCTGAATGTTTTATGGGAATGCTATAACTTCTGTTCTCAAAAAAAAGTGAATGAGAATGGAGCACTTTTTAGTATCTGGTGAATGTAAAGATGTTCTTTCTATTTCATTGATCCTTTCAAATAGCCCACCTTCATTTACATTATTATTTTTAAATGGTGATATTATTTAGAATAGTAGATATTATTCATCACAGACTGAGCTTTTCTTTAGGAAAAGCTTGCATTCTCAGTGGTTATTTTTCTGGTTTATTTGCTGCTTTCTTTCTCCTCTTCCATAACTAGAGGGAGCAGCCATTAGTACAGAAGCAGCATCAGTAAATTCACAACTTTTTAAACAAATAAGTCATAGCCTGCAGTAAGATACACATTTTTGCAGTGTTTTGTGGGAATTTGTTTATCATCTAGCACTTCAGTGATTGATCTCAGTCATGGTTATGTTTGTGTACTTTCATATCAGCAAATCCTAGATTCAGTTCAGGGGGACATGAAGACATCTAAATTTAAGTGTCTTATTGTGGGATTTTAAAAGTTAGTGGGTTATTTCTAAACTGCAATTTGAGGCAACAGAGTTGGAGTTCAAGGAGTCCAGAGAGCAATTCAGGTCACTGTTGAATGTCTACTTTAAGGCAAACAGAATTACTCTAGAGGCTTGGCTGTCTGATTAGGGGTTACTTCAGTTACCCAAACACAGGCATCCTGTGACATGTTTGATAACCTAATCTATTTTCCCTTGCCTCCAGATACTGGTTTAGAATGTACAGTTCTTCCACAGGTCCTGGACCAGATGTCTCAGACCTGTCCAGATGCCTCTGGACTATTCCAGAAAGAACTAGGTGCACATTTATGCAGCTGAATTAAATCAGTGGTCTCTAGTGAGTGTAATGGAAGCCTAGACACAAAAGTTCTCTCAGCCTCTCTCAGTAAGTGCATATGGCTGAAGGTGGTTGCCTGACGTGTGGCTAAAATCAGTGCAGATTTTCAGAACGTAGAGCGCCTATACAGCAAATATGTAAATACATGTGTAAATATTGTAGATAAGTATGTGTTCCAGTTAAAAGATTTGGGAGATCCTTGAGTCTGATGCTGTTGCAGATTATCAATTGCAGTGCTGAGAGGTGGGCCACTTCCAGGAGTCTACAGGCTGCGGCAGCTGCACTTCCACTGGGGCTCATCTGACGACCATGGCTCAGAGCACGTTGTGAATGGAGTGAGGTATGCAGGAGAGGTAAGACTCACCACTTCTTACTTTAAAACAAGCTGTAAAATAAAATTTGCCACTGTTGTTCTGGTAGGACAAAATTTTTCATTTCTCTGTTTTTCAGGGACTTCTGTGTATTTATTTATCTGTACCTTTTTATTCTTACTCCCATTGATTCTTATAAACATGAATCAGGTTGAAGTCATTCTCACAGCAGGAGAAAAGAAAAATTCTGTGTGAAAGAAAGGTTTCCATGTTCTCAAACCAGTGTGGTGTGAAACAGCACAGCAAGACTGAATTACTCAGAAGCAATCCAAACTTACTAAAACAGTATTGTGAAAATACAGAATTATAGTAGAAGTATAAAATTGCAGTGATAGAAAGGGGCGGGAAAATTAATTACCTTGGTTCTTTAACACTATAGGATTGTAAAGAAGATGAGAAATAGACTAATAATATATCTGAATGGCATTCAGATGGATTCTTTGATAGAATTGCTGTAATTTGAATGCCAAATGGAAATGAATCACCTATCAGTGGATGATGTCTGAATTGCATATTCTACCTGCTTACTTAAGCAACTTTTCTTCAGCTTTAAGATGAGATTATAGTTACTTTTTTTTCAATTTCTTGTTCAAATATTTATAGTTCATTTTAAAACAAGTAGTATAATTAATAATGTGTGACAGATATAACCAATATATGACTTTGCTGTCCCTTTTTTTCTCTTTTTTGGAAGGCCTGATTATCATTCCTTGTTGCCTCAAAACTCACAGAATTATGTGAAAAACTGTAAATTCAGCCTCTGATGGTTTGCTGTTGAATAATGGGGGTTTTTAATATATTTTTCTTTATTTCAAGCTACATTTGTTACACTGGAATCCCAAATATAGTAATTACCTTGATGCTAAGAGAAGAACTGATGGGATAGCTGTTTTGGCCATATTTTTGCAAGTAAGTAGAAGCATGCAACCCTTCTTTGCATTGATACTGTGGAGTTTCTATTCTTATTTCTTATTCTATTCTTCTATTCTTTCTATTCTTAGAGGGTTAAAAAAAAGCAAAACTCTCTGGGTATATTTTCTAGGGATCCTACCACATTGAAGGGGTTGACTTTTAGTAAAGTATCCTTTTGAAGTTACAGAGCATGAGTCATATTATCTCAAGTGGTATCCAAAACTACACACACTTGTCCCTGCAGCTATTGTGTCACTATGTGGCTCATGGAATGGGGACATGTGTCAGAAGTGGCCCTCTAACCAACAGCAGTCAGCTGTCTTTTTTGCTAACTGGGGACAGATTTCAAGGACTCTTCTAGGTTTTTCATGAACTTTCTCTGTAACAAAACTATCTCATAGGCAATACATATTACTAATCTGTTTTTTAAAATCCTTCTAGAGGCATGTGGCCTTAGCCTGAAATATTAGCTGTTGCTTTCTTGTTTAATTCATATTTGCTAGAGAGAGCACTAGAGATAGAAAGCTGGATGTCTTTTTTGAGATCAGCAATTGCAAACAATATATCTGACTGTGAAATCTGTGTTGTGAAATTACTTGTTAGGCTAAAATTACTGTACTGTTAAAATTTCCCCCTTTGTATCATGATACCTGTTGTGGTACTGGCAGAGGTAATAGACAGAAGACATAGCTTACCAAGCTGGTAGGGGTAATAGGTTGGGTTAATGCATTATAATTTTATAGTTGATATATGTGTAGATGTTCGGGTTAATGCATTATAATTTTATAGTTGATGTATGTTTAGATGCTCATTTAGAAAAACAGGAGAAAGAAGAAAGCTGGTCATGCAGAACTCAGTGTTTAGCTCACACTTTCTTCTTTACAGGTAGGGGAAACTCCCAAACCAGAGATGAAGAGAATTCTTGAAGAAATAAATGCTATCAAAACAAAGGTGATGATGTTGGGCTTGTCATTATAGGAAGATTTCTCAAAATCTCAGGACAAAAAAAAAAATCATGATGTCTGACTTTCTAGTTTTCAAATTCTGCTCTGCAACATTTCTAGAATATATTTGGGAATAATATCATGGGTAACTTTTCCTTAACATGAAAAGTTCTTTCTTCCATTTATGTATGAGCTTTCTTTGACTTTAGTGGGGCTTGGCAAAAATGAGTAATTTCCCCAGTCTTTGCTCGCATAAAAACCAGACATGGAACCTTATTGCCTCAGTGGGCGGTGCCACATAAAAGGCCTATTTAGAATTGGTCCATTTGGTCTTAGTATATATATGCCAAATGGGTTTCTGGAAATGCCACTGACTAGACATTTGTGTCTTAGATAACATTATGTAATAAATCTCACGTTTCATAGGCTGTCTTACTTGTTATTAGCACAAATATTATAAATGTAGTACCTGTCTCACTTTGTTATATGGTGACCTAATGCAATATTCAATAGATAGAAAGAATTTCCATAAGAAAGGAGGCCAGAAGGAGGAGTATTTCTGCACAGAAATGACTGAAACACATTGGTGCTGGACGCTGCTTCACATGAATTAGCTCAGGTACAAGAAGTAGCATCATGGAGTTTTCTGCTTCATCGTGATTCTCTGGGCCCACCTTTGACAGTCATTCAGTCCACCTATCTTACTGCAACATTATGTTTTGTGTAGATCTGTGCTTACTTTCCTCTGTTCATACATTTGAAGTATCTGAGTCACTACCAGTTTCTTAAAATAACAGAGCTGCAAACTAATCTTGGCTAGATCTTTGAAGTTTTCTGTTTGGTTTTGTTGTGTTTTTGTTTTTATTTGAAAGGGGAAAAATGCTCCTTTTCCAAACTTCGATCCTTCAATTCTTTTCCCTAAATCTCATGACTACTGGACATACCATGGATCTGTCACTACTCCACCTTGTGAAGAGTGTGTTACCTGGATTATTCTTAGAGAGCCCATCATAGTCAGCTCAGACCAGGTAAACTTCCCCCATCATTTTAGTTGCATGCCATAACCTGAATTTATTCTTTTGGCAAGGAAAACAAACATTGGATTTGTGAGAAATTACAGGATTAAAAGGAGAGTGAAGAACTAGCCCACATCCAACACCATGATAGTTCAAGCCCACAGACATCAGAGAGCTTTTTAAATCAGTAAAAAACATACCACAGTGTAGATGGTAAGAGTCTTCTTTCAAGAGCATAATTTGCCAGAATATAAATGTAATAGGATTCATGATTCTGTCTACCCTGTGTTGCAGATGGGAATGCAAATTGGAAGTGTTAAATCACATTAATTACACCTGTTAATTACTCCTGTTTCTGGAAGGCATACCAGCTAAATTTTCACAAACAGGAGCAACGTCAGCTAACTATAATTTATTGTTAATGTCAAAAACTTCTTTGGTCATGTTCTGTAAAGAAGTATTTCTTGTTAATTTCCCCTCCTAATTTCCCCCCAGTCCCAAAACAGGAACTTGAATACCCTCTTTCAGCACATTTCAGCCTACAATTCTACTCCTACCACATAAGTCATTTTTCTCATCTGAGGTTATTCCCCTAGTCAGCAGGCTATAATGATATGATACCACAAATTTCAAGGCTTCAGGATACAAAGCACATTAGTACTAATCAAGGGGCTGACATATTATGTATATGTTATATTTAGATACATAACTTTTCATTTTAGGTTTTCAAGATAACATGTTTAGTGTATTCACTGATGTGCATGTTATCACAAAAATGAAATATTTTTCTATTTATTTATATTACATATTATCTATTTATTATATCATTATTATATTTATTTATTTTATTTAAGTGGCTCTTTATCTTGTAAGTAATACAACTCAGGTATGATGAGAACCTTAGCTGGCAATAGATGAAATACGGTATAACTTACACATAACTTCATATAACTTACAGCTTAATTTTCAGAGCTTACTGAATTGCTCTGCCTTCTGTTTCCTTGTCCATCCAAAAATTAAAATGCGGGGGCTATTTTAAAGTGAGTACTTGTGTTAAAAATACAAATATGGTCTGACTGGTTTCCACAAAATGAATCATCTTAGATGTTTATATTACAGAAGATCAGCTACAGATTATATAAGGAAAAGTGTAGTCATTATTGAGCATCTCTGATTTAAAATGCATTTTTAAATAAATAACTAATCACAATTGATCCAGCTTCATGAAAAGACTTTTTGACTACAGTTGTGTTTGGGTCATGGTCTTTTTCTCAGCTGTTCTAAAATTAGTGAGTTTTGGGAAACATACTGACTGCTCTTTAACTGTCCCTCCTGTAGAAAAATTGGAGCATTTAAGTTAGAGATGAAATTACTACATAAAGACGAGACATTGGCTCCTACCCTGAGGACCCCTCCTCCTATCCTTCTGCTTTTCAGGCAGAATTGGCAGCGTGTGTGAGTTACTGCCTCGAAATACAATAGGAATGCTTCCCTCACTCCAGAGTGCCTGCACTCTAAATAATGTATTCATAAGAGGATTGTGTTGCCAATTATTTCTAATCCTAGACAGTGTAGTTCCATAGCAGCCTCATTAATAGTGATTATTTTAAGTGTGTGTGCATTTGTGGTGGATTTCTTGGATGCTTTTGCAGCCAGATGGTAACTGTATATTAGCCACAAGGGGAAGTGCAGTTGCTGCAAATCAGTGCTCTGCAGGAAAATCAATTCACCAGAAATCCCAGGGAGATATAGTGTGGGTGGCCTAGCTGCTCAGATTACTTTTAATGAAAGAACAGGAATTTAACTGTGGAATAACTCTGTCTAATTGCAGACTAATTTTTTCATCTTTATGTAATCGTAGCCTGAATACATGTTGGTTTTTTACTGAGTAGAGCTGATCTTCTACAAGTAATAAACTCCAACACTCTTCTCCAATAGTAATTTATCAGTATTAACAAAACTGATGAACAATTTTCATCTCTTCCTGTAAAAATTATTCTTCATCTGAAATTTGAAATTTCATTTCAGAATATTGATCCATGGGATTCATATTATGCTGGTTATAAATGTGACCTCATCATTGTTCAGGCAGGCTGAGATGGCTGGCTTTTCTGAGCTGTTCAGTGAAGAGTAATGTTGAGATGCCCCAGCTAGCTCAGTCCATAAACTGGAACGAGTTTAATCACAGTGAACCCAGGTTTTACAACCTAGACAGAAATTCTGCTTGTATTGGCCTTGAAGTCTGTACTGAAAAGTAGATACATCAGTGTATTGAAGCTCCTGGCAAACAAAGGTGATGCGTGCCCTGCATGGGGCTACGTTTTCAAGTTAACATGGGAAATGTGTGCTTGCTTTTCACAGTGAGTAATTCAAACAGGGACAGGTTCAAGTGTCTGAATCACAGCTGATGTGCTTTGGGTCTAGTATAGTGCGTGGTAGTGACAGCAAATGAATGTAGGGTGTCTGTATATGTGTTGTATCTTTTGAAAATCAGAAAGCAGTAGAGAAGTTTTAAACAGTTTTCATATGGTATCCCTCAAAATAGGAAACATACCTTGGTATGGCCAAGGAGAGCCAAGCTGCAGGCCTTGTTTACAAACCATTTGAAACCTTTATCCAGATTTAAATTCCAATTCCTGTTATTAATAATGGACTTCTTGTGTCACTGCAGCAAAATATATCCTCTGCAGCAGACCTACCATGGAGATGAACAATTGGTTTATAATTCAGCTTAAAAACTTTGTAATTCTGGAGGATTCTTAACAATCAGGCAATAAGGAGGGTTAGAGTAGGAGAGATTTATTGTAGCATGTGCTGCTGGATTCACATTTTCTGAGGACTTCCCACAGTTTCTGTTCCTGTACACAGTTCCTTAGACAGTACCTAAATGACACTATTTTTCACAGTCCTGTTCAAATAGGACCCATTTTTCTGTTTTGACTGTTCTAAGAGTATAGCTGCTAGGAAGAGAACAGATACAGTTCTTGTGGTGGTGGTGTGAAGGACATCTTCACAACTTTGAAGGAGACTTTTTTCCACAGCTGAACCAGCCTCCTTAGTTTAATTGTCGGGCTGTAAATTTGATCCCAAAGGATTTCCACCAGGACACTTAATTTGTGCTCTTCTGCAGATGGCGAAGCTCCGCAGCCTCTCCAAGAATGCCGAGAACGAACCCAATCACCCCTTGGTTGATAACTGGCGCCCAACTCAGCCGCGGTATTTCAGGATGGTGAGCGCGTCGTTCCTCTAGGATGCGGCTCCTGTCGGGTGGCTCTGAGAGAGGCAACCTCTGGAAAGAAGAGGTGTTTTTGTTTTCTGTCCTTTTGCACCATTTACACAGAACTCCAGCTCTAGGTCTGGAGGCTGAAATTTGAGTTCTGGAATGAGAATTTCACTTTCACAGGATAACATTTATAACATTTAATTTAGGCAAATCCTACTGTTGAGATGGAAGTAGGGAATCTGATTCTTCATAACTGCTTTAACATTAGCTTTTCCTAATAGTTCAAAGGAAGAAAGATGATGCTACTAATAATTACAAGACAATTTCCTATTGTGCACTTGTCTCTTGATGCTTATCTGATTTCATGCTAAAGAGGTTTCAGTTAAGAGAAGTAATTGTTTTCACCATTAAAGACATATTTTTCTGTAGGTGTTTTCAGCATTATCCATATCCAGCTCTGAGCTGCACCACTTAATTCGCAAGGCATTCTTGGAAATTATAAACGCTTTTGGTCTTTGGTATGTAAAATATGAAAGGATAGGAAATTATGTTATAATCATTGATAAAGAGCTAAACTTTTACTTTCTTAAAACAATGGACAGGTGAAACAGAGGTCTGTTCTGAAAATTGTATTCACTGAGTTATATGTAGTTAAAACTATGAGAAGGGGGAAGAGCTATTTCTTTTTGTGTCACAACTGTGTCCCTTTATTAAAAAACTAATTTCCATTTTAATATTGTAGCAGGCAGGGTGACATAAATTTTGTGAAGTTGGTCTTTGTATCCTTCGTATATATTTTATTCATGTATGCAAATGGATTTTCTGTGTAAAAAGGGTGTTAAAATAAGAAGAGTCCTTAGTCTTTTTAATTTTTTTTTGAGAAAAATTCTAATTTCCTGTACAAATGTAATCAATCCTGCTGTCAATGAAATTTGTGCATAAACATCTGAAACCATTGTTGGATTCTTAATCAAAACGCAATTGACCAATGTGTTCTTGTCTCTTGTTTTGGCACAAAGAACAATGAAACAGGATTGTAGATTGTAAGCCTCTAATTGAAATAACACTAGTTCTGCAATAAAAAATCCAACAATAATAAATGTATTTACTTAAGATTTTTCGTTCTGTAGTTTTTTACTATTTAGAAACATGCAAAAGTAACAGAATTTTAAGGAAACACCTGTCAATGTCCTCTGTATTACATCTTTATAGAAGCTGATGATGCATAGTATCTTTTTCAGATGTTTGTTTGAACTACAAGAGTACTGATTTTACCTGACCCCTAAACAGCTACACCCTTGAGACATCCACATCTATTCTTTTAGTGAGATCATCTCTTTTCTGACAATGGTTTTCTTGCAACATCACATGAATCAACTTCACAAGTTGATTGCAGACTGGAAAAGTTCAGTCTATATCCAAACTCACTAAACTGAAAGGTAATTTACCATTGAGCTCAGGAAATACAAAGCAGGTACTGCTCTGGCAGTGGCTAGATTCTTGGCTGCCATGTTCTGGGGCAGGAGGATGTTGCTGAGCTTGTTGATGGGAGAGGGGTTATGTTCCTTCTTTACAAAAAGGTAAATTAAAGCAAAAATTGATTTTCCAAAATGCCTAGTTTGTTGTGAGTTACAAGGTAAGTTGTTTTTTAAGGTGCTTTATTAAACAGAGTTGCATAAGCCTGAGTAGGCTTTTTTTTTTCCTTGCAATTCATGATATTGCAAATCTGGAACATGTAATCTCAGGGGTTTTCAATGATATGGTGGTTTCCCAGTCACACTTTGCAAAGGAGCTGTCTGAGTGCTGTAAATGCAGCTGAGGTAAGCTTCATCCTCCAGAGCCAAGTTTATTAACTTGGAAACTTAAAAATTCAAGTAATCTCTCGAAAGAAGGTGTCATTTGACTCTTCCATGCAGTTGATTTTATTTCATCTATATTTATAATTAGTAAAAAGTAGACTAAATTCAGCCCAGGAGAGTTGCAGATAGGAAGAAGTGTGTGAAAAAGGACTTTGGCAGTTTTACAGACCCTGTCCCTATGTTCAGGGACTGCCGGAAGTAATGATGACAGATCTAGAAAACAATGGTACAGCAGGCAGCAGGGGAAAAATGGAAAGAGTAGGAGTAGAAGGAAAAATAAAAAGCCAAAAAATGGATTTGGGGGCGCTTCAGGGACCCTGTGAATCATGCTGTAAACTGAACATATGAGGAGATTAGGGAGTTTTGAAGGCAGCAGGGATAAATGTGGGGGTGCTGTGAGTCAGCATTTAGAATGTGCTCATGTATCATGAAATTTTCTGCTTTCTCTGGCTGTGTTCATTGTTATTCTGCAGAGGTTACCCCTTGCTTTGCAGCTTTCCCCAAGTACAAGAAAAATTAATCACTGGTATGACTGAATTCAGATCATGTAGTCATACCTCACCTCTTACCTGCACATTCCCATTATGTGGTCTCTCCCTGCACTGCAGGAGCAGGGAGCACTGGTAAACTACCTGGTAAAAAGGAAAGCCATCCAATTTTCATCTTGGTGGGGTGAACACAACGAATGACTGCTGTATTTGACTACACTGGGTGACATCAATGCTAATTAGGAACAGCCCCTCTGAAACAGACATGGACATGCAGCCACATTACACAGCTCATTGGCAGCCCCTGCTCTGAGTTACTTTTCGTTTGCTGCAGAGGTCAGAAATGACATGGCCATGCTCTGTGGTGCTGCGAGTCTTCCTGAAATGTGAAACGTTTTAATGGTATGGCTGTACCTGCATCTGTGTCAGTGAGAGTCTTGGACATGAGCAAGAAAGTGCTGTGGAATGAAATGGCAGCTGCAGTAGCACCAAAGATATGATTATGCTCTTCAACAATCAATTTTAGATAGAATCTCCCCTTCTAAACTTCATCAAACTGAAAGATATCCATGGTAAATGTGTGGGGAGTCCACTTTCTTATGTTTCTCATTGGGAGCCTTTTCTCTAGCCCCAACATGTTGATTACAGAAGTTATCCATGGGTTACTTGTCTGCAGCTGGGCAGAAAACTGTCAACCTGCTGTCTCACTTTGTGTTGCTCTCTGAGACAGGCAAGAGGAGGTAGATATAGATAATCTAAAATCTTATCTAGAAATACACATAGGTTTTAGTGTTGAAGAAAAGTAAAAATTCAGGTGATGAATATTTCTGAAGAATTTAGACTCATCAAATCTTTCGATCAGGATGAAACTTGATTAAATCTGATTTATATCCAAATTTATGCGTATTCTCTATTTCATAAGAGTAATCATAGGAAAATTAACAGATCTTAAAACCCTTTTTTCTATAATAAATAAGACAGTATTTTGCAACTCATATGCATAGCTGTTAATACCATGAGAAAAATTTGGAATTGTCTTGCTCAACTTTTAGATTTGGGGTCACAAATGATGAGTGGGACAGATGCTCTGTCCTGTTGCCCAGCAGTGTGGCAGCAGTGGCAGTTCACTGGAGCTGAACTCCAGTCTGGCAGCCCCCCATCCAGAAGGGCACACAGCAAATCCCTAGTCACCATCATCAGGACGCATCATGCCTCTAACAGAACATGCTGAAGTTTGGCTTGGTTTGGAAAATGTTTCATTCCCTTGCCTCAAAGCCTTTTTGCCACTGAACAGACCTGTTTTTGCAGCTTACTGTCTGCCTGTGTATATGTATATAAGTGCGTGTATCAATATATACACAAAACATATGTGCTGTATAGATGCACATTCTGCTGCTGATTTTGGTTAATGTGCAATAGTGTTTTGACTGAAACTAGAGCTAATTTCAGACTCAGGAGACAAAGCATCTTTCTAGAGAAGTTAAGTGTGCTTTTAACAAACCTGTCTCTGGTTGGCTGCTTGCCACACCTAGCTGTCTTCCAGAATAAAGTAGTGGAGGAAACAGTTCCCTTTCCTTCCTTTTGCAAGAATAAAAGAACTCCTCAGTTTGGAGCAGGTATGCTTCTTTCTGAGATCACTGGGGCTATTAATCACCTTGTCTTGCTTGAAAAGGCTTGCTTAAAAGCCTAAGAGCACACTTGCTGGTCGGAGACTAGAGCTGGCACTTGGATTCCCAGTTTCAGATAACAGGTCAAGAGTAAGAAGTCTGTGAAGGACCTTGAAAGTCAAAGTGAGTTATGTGTGTTTAATGTGACAAAAAAAAAGACAGTCGGGATTCATAGAGGTGGTGACACAATCCAAAGGACAGAGCAAGAAAATTATGTTAGCAAACAGTGGAAAGGTTATGTTTGCTGGGGCTGCAAGAAAGGACATGGCAGCAGTGAGGGTATGAGACACTGATCCTCAGCTGATTTTGAGATGGTTGGAATAACAGACTTTGCACCTAATATTTTCTAAACACCAATGGTGTTGCTGAACGGTATTTGGTTCTTTGCACTATTTCATTTCAGACTGCCCTTCTGACTTGGTTGTTCTTTGTTTTTTTTCAGTTTGAGCTTCTCTTGTAGCAGTTCCAACCTATCCTTCAATTAGATTTTATTATTCTTTAGAACTAAATCTTACCACACCTTCAAATAAAACTTCTTACGATGTTACTACTTGGCACTATGGTACAAAATCATGTTCTTAGGCATCATCTTCTGTTCAAGGCAGAAATCCTTAGTATTCCTTTATTTACTGTTCCATTGCTTTCTTCTGTATTCCCCCACAAATGTAGGAGGGACATTTAAAATTCATTTAGCCAGTTTTGCAAATACCTCTAAATTATTTTTTCTTTCCCATTCAAATGCTGGGAAGGCCATAGAAATACTGCCAGTTGAGAAGGAGCTACTTGCTTTAATGTCTGTATCCGGAACAGGAATACTGGGTGGTAAATCAGTTACTTAGTTTCAACAGTGGTCCTGTTTCTGCTTGAAATGCTCTGACCTTTGCTATCATGTTTCTTCTGCAAGGTGCCTAATTAGGTAAGTTCCTGCTTTATATCCTTGATGGACTTAATGAAACAAAGTGCTGCAAGTAGATGTGAACACTTGACATACCTAGTTCTGCTTAAATTTATTATTTTGGTTCATTCTGCTAATGATAATGATGATGATTCTGCAGTAAGATATGCAGAATGGTATTCCTAAGTGTCTTTATTAAAATTGGGTCAAATAGGTTGCAGTTGCAAAGTAATTTATGAGCTTCAGAAAGGGTAGCTGAAGAGATACTTGCACAGATACCCTAGGAGAAAAAACTGTAGGTACCTGTGTATGCAATTTAAAGTGTCATGTCTTTATTTTGCCCATTTAATGATAAAGGCAAAACCAGAGACACACAAACTGATAAACACTCTGTCAGTGCTCAGTGCTGCCCATGGTGACCAAACACCCCTTAAAAACTTCTTACTGCTTAGGTATTTTTAAGTATTTATTAGGTATTTATTTTGTACATCTCCAATGAAAGCTAATACTATCGGGCCATTTGAAAGTAATTAATTTTACAGTGAGTTAGGGTAAAATCCACGACACACAAATTTCAGAAGCATCTATGACCTGTGAGAATTGTCAGTGGGAATGATTGATCTGTCCTGTTTGAAATGGATGTGCAGCAAACCCAAGGGAAGTCATAGCACTTCCCCAAAGGGAGCCTGGAGCATCTCCTCCCATCTTCTTGGCTGCTCCGTGCAACCTGCAGGAAAGAAAAACTTAGAAACAATTTCTTACTTCTATCAAATTTGGCCAATACATTCAAACATGGAGGTTTCAACTGCCAGACACATGGACAGATGGAT